GAATGTTTAGACTCAATCCTGAAGGGCTTTTTCTGACAAAATTCCTAAGGAAATCGAACACAATTGGAGGTAACTTTTTATGATAGGAACTTTTGGCGTATGTATTAATTGAAGGAGATAATATAAAGAAATTGTAGACGTTAAGTTTACACTGGCCATTTACTTTAAAATAAAAATCCAAGGTATTTTGCCATCTTATGACCTGAAAAAAAGCAATTTTACAAGAAAAGTTTTCATTTAGAAAAACTAGCCTAATTTAAAACTGGTTTATTTGCCAGTTTGAAGACAGAACCTGCCCAAAAAAAGAAATAATAAAAGTTTGGACTCCACTTAGAAAACTTTAAAGAGAATAACAATAAACTAAAAATCCAATCCAACTCAAAAGAAATGAGAGAAAAAACTAAAAATACCACTTATTGAATTGAAATCTAAAAATAATTTGAAGAAGTAATAAGAAGTAATTGACTTAAGAATGGGATTATATTAATTATTTTAAAATTTATGATTAACAAAAGTTTCAGTAATTGCTTTTTAAGCATTCATAAATATATTTGCATATGATCTATAAACAACTTTCCATTTATTAATTTGCAGATTATCTGTTTTCATTGTAAATAAACAACATAATAATTTGTGGAATTTATGTTTTTCTGATTTTTTCAAAGTTTAAAAAAACTAAATTCACTGCGTATATTTCATTCATTCATTCATTCATTTTGAGATGGAGCCTTGCTCTGTCTCCCAGGCTGGAGTGCAGTGGTGTGATCTCGGCTCACGGCAACCTCTGCCTCCCGGGTTCAAGCGATTCTTCTGTCTCAGCCTCCTGAGTATCTGGGATTACAGGTGCCCACCACAACGCCCGGCTAGTTTTTTTGGTATGTTTTAGTAGAGACAGTGTTTCACCATGTTGGCCAGGCTAGTCTCGAACTCCCGAACTCAAGTGATCTGCCCACCTCGGCCTCCCAAAGTGCTGGAATTACAGACGTGAGCCACCACTCCCAGCCCCGCTGCTTATATTTTAAATAGTGTCTCAGAAAAAATAAATCCATGGGAGAAATGAGTGTGTAAAAGCAGCAAGTCAAGGTGACATTTTTCTGGATGTCATGCTCTGTGTGCTTCAATACTCTTTCTCTTCCCACCAATACATGTTTCCAGCTACAGTTAGCCAACTCTGGTAGCATTACCTACCTCCCACCCCCACCCAATGTGTCCTGAAAGTATTCAAGTTCCTTCACTAGGATTCACTCCCAAATGAAACTGAATGCCCTCTCTTCCCTCTCCCTCCAGCCCCTTCTACCCAGAGAAGTTGATTTTGTTCCTTTGACTAATTTGAAGTATTACTTCTCCTGGGCTCTTTTCTCTCCCTTCCCCACAAGGTTCCCATCAAGCGAATAAAAAAGCAAAACTAATTTTTGTATGTTAATGTATTCATTTAGCTGGTCATACAGCATCGCATTTGAGGATGCTGGATCATCTCCAAGTGAAACTTTGCAAAAGGCACCACTCCGGCTTACCAGTCCCGGAAATGCCCATCTATCATACCTAGAAGGAAATGGTTACTTGTGCTTCTAAACTTAAGTCTGAATTTATTTCCTGCATCAGGCATGCTGCCTTAGGGAAGAGTAACATGTAAGTGATAATAATTTGAGTGTTTCTCATGCTGTACACATGACACATAACTCTCAAGAAATGAACCAGATATTCTAGGTTTCCTCATAGCATGATTTTCGTAAGTCAATAATTATTTTTAATGGCTCATTTATAGGTCAAATAGTGAATTATAAAACCTCATCGCAGTAAGAGAGAACATCATTTGGGAAAAGCTGCATAAAAAGTGAGGGTCATCATTGATTCAGCCTTCCTTTTGCTGCTTACCTTTATATAGCATTGTCCGGAAGTCTTTACCTTCCCAGTAGCTAATGTTCACTCTTGTGAAAACGTTATATTTTTCTGGATAATGAATTTCAAACAGGACTCCTGTTTCAGGAGAAGGTTTATAGTCATATATGGAAACACTGGTTACAGGTAGAGGTTCTGCAGAAGTGAAGTAAATGGAGAAAGGGAAAAGAAAGAGGAGAGAGAAAGACCGATATCAATACTTGAATGAACCAAGGATTACACCTACCAGAAATTCACACATATTTTCACTGTCTGTGGGCACTATACTCCTCAGTACCCATGAATTGAATGTTCTTAGCAGTAATTAATACAGTACATTTTATATAGTGCTTTCTGCTTTTTGAAGAACTTTTGCATTTATTTTTCCTTTTGCAACAGTCCTGATATCTAGGAGGAGCAAATATTAATATATCCTTCCCACTGATAAATATAATGATGGCTCACAGACTAAATTACTTGTCCAAGGTAATTTAACAAGTACATGACAGTCTGTATCTTCAGATTCCCAGTTTATTTTTCTTTTTCTCATGCGAAAGAAATTTGATATTAGTAACAGACCAGTAACAGAAAATAAATTTTGGCTCAGACCGATGATAGTTATATGATCATTTATTTCTTCATGTGAGCATAGCACTTATTTTTCCATATGAAGTATAAAATTTTAAACTGTCCAATGTTGTAAAAAATATATTTTGTGGTGTTTCTCAAACCACTTTTTCTATAGAAGTTTAAAGAAAACATTTCTATTTTGCTTGAGTAGTTCATTCACTGGAAAACTTTAAAAATACTCATTTTAAAAAATCCATTATCGATACATGTCTGCATTTCCTCCCCCTCCCACTGTCCTGCAAATTTCTTGTAAATGCATTTTGCACCTTTCTGAAGAAGCTATTAAACAGATTTTACTTGTATTAATTTTATTAATAAGATATGTTAAATAATTTCGTTTGGGGTCACCTGTAATTCCAGCATTTTGGGAGGCCAAGGCGGGCAGATCACCTGAGGGAGTTTGAGACCAGCCTGACCAAACGGAGAAACCCCGTCTCTACTAAAAATACAAAATTAGCCGAGCGTGGTGACACGCGCCTGTAATCCCAGCTACTTGGGAGGCTGAGGCAGGAGAATCAGTTGAACCTGGGAGGCAGAGGTTGCAGTGAGCAGAGATAGTGCCATTGCACTCCAGCCTGGGCAACAAGAGTGAAATCTCAAAAAAAAAAAAAATGAAGATAAATAAAATTTAAAAGCTGTTGGAACCCCAAAAATCACTTTAAGCATGCAAAAGATATAACTGTGATCTGAGTCACATATAGTTATAACTTCTGTTCTCAAATTACAGATTAACTCACTTTATTTTTCTTATTCTGTACAATGACTAGAGGGAATTAAATAATGTCAGGGACAAAAATCTCCTGCCTTCTTAATTAATGACCCTTGTTGTAGATTAACTTCCCCCCTTTGTTGTCCCGCTTTGCTTAGGCCGGATGACAGAAAACCTATAAATCACTATCACACTCTGTGTAAAAAAAATGTTAAATGTCCCCTTCCCCAAAAGAAACACTGCTTATAACCAATGAAATTTCTGTTAACCAGGTGTCAACCTTGTATGAATACTTTTTTGTAATCCTGATAAAAACGTCTCTGTCTCTGCCTATAAGAAATGAGATCCCAGTTGCACTACTTCAGAGCACTGACTGAATGCTTTTGGAGTTGGCGTTTCCAGGTGGTCTAGCCTCACACTTTGTGCTTGAAAAAACTCTCTTTAAATGAGATGCTGACCCTTTTGACAATTTTAGATTGACAGAAAAAATTTTTTTGATTCACAATTTCCGAATTGAGAGGATTCTTGGACATCATCTATAGCCTGACCTAAAGAAATATCCTTAGTTTAAATTTACATTCAAAAAATTTCAATTTCAATAACATGAGAACTCCAAATTTGACTTAGTTCCTTCAATAAATAACTATTGAGTATCTAGTATGTCTCAATCTGTAGCGGGATATGTTTTATTTTGTTGCTCAGGATCTTAATCTATCTTTGCTACTGACTTTAAGAAACCCAGAAATAATTGAAGCTACATGGTAATGCTTTGATTTTTCCTGGAATTTTCTGAAAAACCAAGCCAACTTCTACAAAAAAGTTAGGAAGACCTTCAGACTCCAGTGTATTTTATGATCATGTCACTGTAGACTATGTGCTGTAGTCTCTGGTTAAAAGGTATGAATTTTATCTTTGTCTCATCCCTAGTCTTGCTACATGCAGGTAACATTTCAGAATGAACTCACGTACTCACTTATGTACCATGTCAACCAACCAACCAACCAGCCAACCAACCAACCAACCAATCAACCAACCCTCGAAGACTCTGTTTTGAGTTCAAAACTCCCAAAGAAGTTTTGAACTGCTTCAAGTTCTTTCTTTCGACCCAGCCTAATTTACTAACCCATGGAGTCTACCAGATCCAGCTATTGACTCTGGCCCTAAGAGAACTAAAATGAAAGGAAACAGAAAAAGCAGCCACAGATCAGTAACTCCTCCACTGTTGCAGTCCTGTTTCACATCCTCATCAGGGTTTCTCCTACTGAAAAGAGAAGTTAGAAGGGCACTTAATCTTTCATGACCTGAGGCATGAAGTCTACACATCAAAGCCACGGTCAAACTTTGAAATTCAAGACAGACAGGAGGATTAGAGAACAGATATTTTATTTTCCGATTTTTTTTTTCTGCAACAAGCTACTTAAACTTTAAACTAAGAAAATGTCTTAAAATGCCTGTTTATATGTTTGTTTTATATGTTTCCCTCAGCTTCAATGTAAATGACCCAGGTCAGCTGTAAATCCTGTTGATGTCTAAGTATTACTGAGGAGTATTCAATCCAAGAACTACTGTTTTTAGAAGAACTCAAATGTATAGTATAAAAATATTTTACTATCTCGCCAGTGACTTCTCTCATTATCTTTCTTTTTAGAAATTAAGTGGTGTGGTATAAACCAATGCTATATTTACTAACAGGCATTTCAGTGATGACAAAGTTAAATCCTAATCTAAGTCAATAGTCCTCACTTTGTCAGTCACTCCATTGTACTTCCCTTTCTTTTCTTAGGACCAGCCTGGACTGGACAGAGAAATGGAGTTGTTGGACAAGGTGAATCATTTAATATCTTTGTTCATTACTTTCTTGTCCACAGATGTTTTAATTTTTCAAATAAATAAAGTCTTAGAAAATGTAGTTGAAATTCCCCCATGTAACTTAACCAAACCCCATTCTTTTCCCACCATGACTAGAAGTAAATTATTACTCTGAATCTGGTATTTATCTTCTCATGCATGTTTTTTAAACATATATTTGTAAGCATCGAACATTGTTTCATGTTTTAAATTATTATGTAAATTATCATAACTATCCTGCAGCTTGTTTTTATTGCCTAACATTGTTTTAAGATTTATCACTCTTGATACAAGAACATCTAAAAGTTTTATTTTAGTGTCCACTTTGCAACTATACAGCCCACACAATATACTTGTTATTATTTTAGTAGAGTAATTGCTTTCAATCATTTACTCTTACAAATAATGCTGCAATAAATGTTTGCAGCATGTCTCTTTAGGTGGCAAATCCTGGATAGTAGGGTCTACACATCATCTGTATCAGATATTCTTAGAAAGTTTTCTAACTAGATTAGGGCAATTTACATATCTATTAGCAGTGTATGGTAGTTCGTCTTTCTCCATATTATTTTCCAACATTCGCTGATACCAGTCTTTTTAATTTTTGCCACTCTGAGGTGTGTGAAATTTTATCTCTTTGTTTTAATTTCCTGCTCATGGAGATTAATTATTTTTTCTTATGTTTTTTGGTCAATCAGCTTTCCTTTTCTTAGAATTGTTAAATTCTTTTGCCTGTTTTGGGGTTCTTTTTCCATCTGCTCCTGCTAATTTGTAACACAATCTTTGTCATATACCATATTCCCATTGTCATTTTTAAAAATTGTGTCCTGGACTTTCCTTCTGGATTCACCTTTTTTCTTGCTGAAATCTGTCTATTAACAGTTCTTTAACTCAGAGCTATAGGTGTTAAGTTCTCTAGGCTTTGTATATTAGAAAATCTCTATTTTATCTTTATTCTTAATGTGGTTTATTCTTGATGTATCTGGGTATAAAATTCTAGGTAGACAGGTATTTTCGTCAGTACTTTGACGATGTTGTTTTTTTGTTTTCTTTCACCAGTTATTGCAGAAGGGAAGACTTCTGTCAGTAGAATAGTCATTCCTTTGTAGATACTTTGCTTTTTTCCTCTTGTACCTTTCAAGCTTATTTATCTATTTTCATTTAGCCTTAATAATCTGATGATACATAATAGCAATAATATAGCATTATATAGTTAGGCATGGTTTTAGTTTTGAATTACTCTATTAGGTACTTAGTTGGAATGCTCTGTCAGTCTGTGAATTCATGTCATTCTTCAAGTCTTGGAAATTCTCATAATAATCTCTCCAAATATCATGCCCACCATTCCCTCTTTCTTTTTCATGAATCCTTAAGCCTTCTTAGCTAGAGCCTTTCCCACTTCCATGCCTGTGAATTGCCTCACTGTGCTGTATTATGGGGCAAATTGCATGGCATTATCCTTCAATTTACTAGCTCTTTGTAACTGTTATCAGTATAGAATTTGTCCTATCTACTGAAGCTTTTCAATTAGTAAACTTTAAATTTAATCAATCATTTGATGAATTAAATTTTAAATTAATTTAAATGATTATGTTTTCATTTATAAAAGTTTTAATTTATTCATGTTTATTCTATATGTTTTTATTTTATTTCTGCAAATTTTTTTTGAGATAGGGTCTCATCATGTTGTCCAGCCTCGATTTGAACTGCTGGAATCAAGGGATCCTCCTGCCTCAACCTCCTGAGTAGGTGGAACTGTAGGCACAGCACTGCGCTGTTTTGGTCAATTTTTTTTTTCACTAATTCCCTGGTTTCAAAGACTGGAGGCGGTTCTTACATTTATGTCCTTGAACATTATAAATTTTTGTTCAATTGCTATTTAAAATACAATCTGAACTGTTATAGTTGTTTTGATATTTATCTTTTTTAGCATAAGTTTTTCATGTGTTTTGAGACACAGGCTCTGGGCTCATTTGATGCTTTTTCATCTCCCCATTTCTCTCTTATTATGCCTTGCTTTTAAAACAATTAAGCCATTGCATCCTGTCAGCCCACCAAAGCACCCAGTCTACAACAAGACATATGACATTATTTTGCCATTCTTAATATTGTGGATGATATCGTGGTTATCACTATAGATTCATCCACTGAGTGAGACAGTAACTAGCCTTGGACCTTGGTAGTAAGATGCATATGTGTCCCCTGCATCCTCAGGTCTTTACATATGTATTTTTTTTTTGTTTGTCAAACAGGAAGAATCTTTGCTATAAGCAGAGAGCCTGGCTCTGTGCCCTGTCTAGCATGGAGCATTTCAGTCCGTCTGACTATACCGGGGTCCAGACTCAATAGTGTCTTTGCCAGACCCAGAGCACAGAGGGCCCATTACTTCAGCCCATTTCCCCACTTTGAGTTTTTATTTTGTTTCTGGTTCTTAGAGAACTATTGTGGTTTTGGGTCTGGAAATGTGCTTCTGCTTTTCTTTTTGCTTTGTGGTAGGAGCAAAAAGTGGATGACAAGAAGAATGGACTACATTATTTTGACAAGAAATCCTAGCCTAAGTTCCCAGTTTTCTCTTTAATAAAAAATGACGTTTAGTATGATTATTTTTTCCCTCATTATGTGTCTCATATAATGAAAACTCATGTTCAAATTGAGCAATATTTTATGCCCCTTAATTATCTTTGAATCATTCACAAGAGATCATGAATAGGAAAGTTTCGAAAGTTCTGGATGTGACTATCTCAGAGAAGAGACAAAGAAATAAAAGCAAATGTGGAGCACATACTGTTTAGAGAAAACAAAAGTAGCTCTGTATTACTTATTAAATGCTAACTGCTAAGAGTTGCTCCTTTCTGAGATTGCTCTGTTTAGCCAGACTAAAGAATTAAAATTAAAGAAGCAATTGAGTTCATGTTCAGTAGCCTCTGATGTGACCAACTGAAGAATATGTCTCTTCTGGCCAAGTTCTCTTGAGAGAGAGGATCTGGGATTAGACCCTCACTTCTGATGGCAGGCACAGGGAAAAGGGACCGGACTGAGGCCAAAGCTACTGTTTGGTGTTTAGATGATGATTTGAGACCTGACCTGGCACCTCAGCTACATCAAAGCATACCAGTGAGGTAGGTCTGGCAGCAGTAGCTGCCCATGGTCTAAGCTAGGTGGTGACCATCACACCCAGTACCTTAGTTCAAGTCCTCATCATTTCTTTCCTCGAGCATTTCAACAACTTTCTAAATTATTCTCCCTGCCTCCATTCTCCCCTTAATTTTCTTATTCATTTCTGCTCAAAATTTCAATGTCTGTAGGCTACTTGATATTCTCACTTTAGTCAGAATCTTTGTCCTAAACCAGTCACCTCCATGTCACTGATATTTCCCTGCCCAATCTGTCTCAATCTCCTTCACTTCTGACACCTCGAGTAACTTTCTGTTTAATGCCATTGATACATATTATATTGATTGATCCTGTACTTCATGCTTTGTTAAGGAGCTTACTTTGTACTATTTTATAATGCCCCCCACCAAGTAGGTACTCTAATTATCCCAATATTACATATTATAATGATATGACAGATCAAGTGAGCAAACTACAGTCCACAAAGCCAAATCTGTTCTGCCACCTGTTTTTGTTTGACTTTTAAGCTAAGAAAGGCTTTTACATTTTTAGATGTCGGACCTAAACCAAAGAAGAATAGTATCTCATGGCACATGAAAATTATATAAAAAAATCAAATGTTGGTGTCTCTAAATAAAGTTTAATTATAACATAGCCATGATCATTTGTTTATGTATCGTGTGTGGCTGCTGTTGTTTGCAACAGCAGAGTTGTGTAGTTGCAATATAGACTGTATGGCCATTAAAGCATAACACACTTATTATCTAAGACTTCATAGAAAAAGTTTGCTAACCCCTAGAATGAATTATAGATTTGAAAACTAAGATTTAGAGAAAGTAATCATCTGCCCAAGGCTATACATATGGTTGAACGACTACCCCAAATACTTGCTTTACTCGCTTGATAATTTTTCAATTCCAATGCAGGATTCAAGATCTCTTGGCTTGCAGCTCTGCTACAAGAGAGCTTTCCCCCATTCAAATCCTATTATGTGATTTCTCCCTCATCACTTATAGGTTAAAGTCTAAATTCCTTTGCAAGGTACTTAAAGTTCTTCAACATTTCTAGCCACCTTTCTTGTTATTTTCTGGAACAGCTAACACTTGCCATCTTAACTTCCTGCAGTTACCAAGTGTGCCATGCTATCTATGCCTCCATTATTTGCATATATGATTCCATTTGACTCTGTAACACTTTCTATTCTTTATTCTTTTGGGAAATTTTCCTTCATTTTTTAATGATTGTTTCTTCTGTGCTGCCTTCCCAGTGCTCCCTAGGAAGGCAAGGCAATCTCTTTCACATAATTCTTTCAGTGTCAGAGGCATTTGAACCATGGGAACCCCATCTTGAATAGGGACTGGGTAAAATAAAGCTGAGACCTACTGGGGTGGACCTTGGTGATAAAACAGGTTGCAGTAAAGAAGCTGGCCAAACCACACCAAAACCAAGATGGCGAGGAGAGTGACCTCTGGTTGTCCTCACTGGTTCATTGTTCGCTAATTATAATACATTAACATGCTAAGAGACACCCACCAGTGCCATGACAGTTTACAAATGCCATGGCAATGTCAGGAAGTTACTCTATATGGTCTAAAAGGGGCAGGAACCCTCAGTTCTGGGAATTATCCACCCTTTCGGGAAAACTCATGAATAATCTACCCCTTTGTTTAGCATGTAATCAAGAAATAACCATAAAAATGGGCAACCAGCAGGCCTTGGGACTGCTCTGCCTATGGAGTAGCCATTCTTTCATTCCTTTACTTTCTTAATTAACTTGCTTTTGCTTTGCACTGTGCACTCGCCCTGAATTCTTTCTTGCCGGAGATCCAAGAATCCTATCCTGGGGGTCTGGATTGGTACCCCTTTCTGGTTACAATAGCAGTTATCATATTATTTGTAATGGTTTTTATTTGTCTCTTCCACTATAGTATAACATCTTTGATTATGAGTATTTTTATCTATCTTTATTTCTTTGGTACCTAGGACATGGCACACAGAATGTACCTGATAACTAAAATAAAAACTCATGAATTATTTTTATTTAGAATAGGTCTGTATAGAATATTATATTTGTAGAGTGTCTCCTTGTGTATTCTTTAGTGTGTACAGCCAGTATCTGTAGAACTTCACTGACACGTGACACAGCTGTGTGTATGTGACATTTCCTCAATTTCCAAGCAACTGATTCCAGGTATCCTTTTTCCTGCTGAGAAACTACCCCTTCCCTCTGAAGTGCATGCAATATACTGAAGGTTCTCAATCAATTAAATATTAATGAGATGTCACAGCCTAAGGGTTAAGAAATTCTTTTGAACTGGCCAAATGACTCTGCTATGCCAAATTTATTCTTTGACATGTTTTTCAGCTTTCTCTAAGAGTGACAGACTCAGAACAACTATAGCGAAATATCAAAGGACTGCCCTGGGGCCAATTGCTTTGTCATTACTTATTTCATCAAGACAAGCATCTAACACACAATAAATGACTGCTACAAAGGTACTCTTTTATTCTCAAGAGAAATATGTCAACTCTGTGAGCAGATACTACAAATGTTTTCCAAACTTGTTTAAAAAGCTTTCAGTTAGAAAAATAAAGATGGCAAAAACACATTATTAACTGACAGATAACGTTAGTTTCAGAGCTCAAAAGTTATCTTAGTCATCATGTACTTTAATTCCCTCTTTTATGAAGGTGGAAGCTGAAACCCAAATGTCACTAAATGCCAGCTCATGCCTAATGTCACAGAAATATTTGTGCACTAATCCCCACTTCTTATATTCCCAACTTATTATTGCTCCTTAAATTTGGGATAATGTAATTAAGCCTTTAACAATGGGGTAGAAGACAATATTTGATAGGCCATCATGAATTAATTTTACTCTTTGGAGATCAATACATGTTTCCTCTTCCCCTTAACATGTAGAAAGCCCCAGGATAACATCACTTCTTCTCCACCTCAACAAGCAAAAGCCATGTAATCCACGAAATCATAACTATCCTTGAGGTTACAGGAGAGGTGAAATAGCAAGTCAATCAAGTAATATGAATTCCAAGGCGTGAACAACCCCTCTGGAGAGAGGCGACACACTATTTCACCTTTTGGCAAAGCACAGCAGGAAGAGGATACAACATTGAAGCAGGTAAGAAGAAAGCAGCTCCAATTTTCATGGATTCATAAAGGCTAAATATGGTCTAAATGGATGCATAGAATTGCTCTGTCCAATATGGTAGTTATTAGCTACATGGAGCTATTTAAATAAAATTTTAAATGAACTAAAACTAATTAAAATTAAAAATTAGTGGCTACTATGTTGGACAATATGGATATAGAACATTGCCATCATCCCGAAGTTCTGGGTCACCACTAGTCTAGACTAACTGGGAGACGCAGACACAAATAGAGTCTACTGTGTCTCTCTCGCTTTCCCCTTGGGCCTCTACCCCATGCTCATGATGACTATCGGGAGGCAGTCTCATGAATATAAGGGACTGGAGAGAGCCTCCTTCTGGGGGGTTGGGGATAGGTGTGGGAGGCGACAGGCATGCAGATGATAATTGAAACCACTAAGAGGCCAACAAGAAAACTTACTTCCCTGGACCTTTCCTGAATACAAACCTTAATGTATTGTGGAGGGGCAGAAAAATCTTTCCCTTCCAGTTCTCAGGAAAAGATCCCTTCTTTTGAAGGGTGAATAGAAACAAAAGACGCCTGTTCCTGGGAGAGGAGCAGAAGCAGCTCTTTTGGGCCCAGGGTCCTACATTGATACAAAGTAGAGTATCAGTGGTTCTGCTACCACTGGAGAAGAGGCAGGAAACTCTCTGACCCACAGATTTAATGTAGAATTTCAGTGTCAGTGTAATTTGAGGGGTAAAAATGTCAAGAATGTCCCATCTAATGTCACAGGGTCTGCCTAAGCCTGAGGCTGGACCATGAGAACCAAGAACATCTTCTGTCCCCGCCAAAAAGTTAGCGATGAGAGAAAAACAAGAGCAGTCTATTGCTGGAGGAGCTCTTCTGTGGTGCCAGTGTTCAGGGCTTGCTGCATACTGAGGGTGGAACTGAAACACTGAGAAATACCCTCTACCACTCCTGGCAGCCTACCATGGGAAGAACTGGAAATCTGTGATGAACGGAAGGTGTCTAATACCTCAAACCCAGCTCAACTATTGACTAGATCGACTCACTGCTCATTCTACATAACAGCCTAGCAATATGGTAAATTCAAATTCAACCATAGAAATAATTGTATTATATTATAATAATAAATATTAATAATTACATGTATATTGTCTAAACCTACACATTTAAATTGGTAGTAACTAGCTACATATGGCTATTTAGCAATTAAAATTAGGCTAGTGCAGCTTTATTTTTATTTTAATTTAATTTCTGTTTGAAAGTTAAAAAATGGGTAAATTTGTATATTGATTATATGTTGAAATAATATTTTGAATGTAATGGATTAAGTAAACCATGTTATTAAAATTGATTTCACCTTTTTAGAAAGCATTTTAATATGTCTACCAGAAAATCTACTATTACATATGAGGTTAACATTCTGTTTTTATTGGATAGTGCTGTCCTAAGTACTCCAGTTAAAAGACAGAGATTTTTAGATTGGAAAAAATAAAAAAAACAAGACTCAACTCTGTGCTGTCTACAGGAAACCGTTTTACATGTAAAGACAGAAGTAGGCTGAAAGCAAAAGGATGGATTAAGTATGCCACACAAACACTTAAAAAAGAAAACTAAAATGACTATTTTAATATCAGACAAAGGAAAAATTAACACAAGGCATATTGTTTGGAATATAGAGGGACATTACGTATAGTCAAAAGGGTCAGTTTATCAAGAAGACACAGCAATCTTAAAAGCTTTTGCACCTAATAACAACAGAACTTCAAAATACGTAAAGCATAAACCAAAATAAGTGAAAGGAGAAATAGACAAATTTACAGTTACAGGTGGAGACTTTCAGATTCCTCTATCAGTCATTATTAGAAAAAACAAACAGAAAATCAGTAAGGATATAGAAGACTTGAACAAACAACGTGACCTGGCTGGTACTTATTGAAACTTCACCCAGAAAGTGCTCACAGAATACACAGCAAGAAAGACCATATTTGGGCCCATAAAACAAATCTCAACAATTTTCAAGTAAATGAATCATATAAAATATGTTCTCTGATCACAACAGCACTTCCTCTAGAAATCAATAAAAGAAAATGTCTGCAAAATTTCCAAATGTTTGGATATTCAACACACTTGTAAGCCCTACAGGTCAAAGAAAAACATCACAAAGGAAAATAGAATATATTTTGAATGGAACTCATCATAAATGCTAAGTGATATTCGAGAAATCTTTTAGCATCTACTTACCTATCAAATTTCTTCACGAAGGCTTAGCTAAAGGGCTGAATCATTCAGCTGCAACTGATGAGGAATGGCTGAGTGCATGCTCATAAATGTTGGATTAGCAACCGTCATTACAGTCCTAAATTTATTTTTCTTTGTGCCTCATTTTTTTTTTCTGTGGATCTCTATTACTTGCTCAACTAAATTGAACTAATATTTATGGATCATCTATTAAGCAAGCATAAGGCTTGGGCTAGGTGTTTATGAAATTATGGAGATAAGTAAGACAGTTTTTGATTTCAAGGAGTTCGTATTATAGGCATTATGTGTCTATATCTGCTGCCTAAATCTGACTTGCAATTCGTCTTTTTCTAGAGCTTGTTTAAGACAGTATTTTACCAGGTAAGTGCTCCCTTTAATTCAGCTAATAGATTTGTTCATTATGTCTATAAACTTTGAAGGTCTTGGGTCTACACCATTCCTAATTTTTAGGACTCACTACTGATCCTGGGACTCTGTCAATGGAGACATTAAATTTTTGACAGAAGTATTAAAAATATATCCTCTAGCTTGGTTCTGAGTTTTTGCTTCTTGTAGTTTCTGTTTCCTTTTATCCCAACAGACAATATCACTGTCTTTTCCCTTAATTATCACAAGAACAATCATGCGTAGATGGCATTTAACAAATTGCAGTTGTTGCAAAACTTGCACTGAAGAACATAAGCAAAAGGGACTTTGCTGAGCCATTATATTGTGCTAGTGATAAACTCGGCTGTCTTACAGATATCAGTTTTTCTTCCACATGTCAACATAGACAGTAGAGTCACGTCTTAATTTGACATTAGATATTAAAGTCAGTGAGTAAAGTGAAAAAAAATCACATGGAGTTAAAACCATTCCTAAAAATTTCCCAATGTCAGCCTTAACTCTATATGACATGGACTCATGAAGGTTAAAATGCCAGTGATTTTTTTCTTGGCATTTTTTCTTAAGAAGTAGAAGGCAAAGCTATTTTGAAGACGAGGTAGGGAATAACTGATAAATATATCTTTTTCTCTCTTTCAGCCAGTGACCTATACGTGAATTTGAGCAGGCTAAATAGGAGTATCAGTTCATTGTCCCCACACTGAATTGCTAAATATGAGAGTACGTGCTCTGGAAAAAATAGACAAGTTATGATGACATTATTAAGTAATACAGCAGAACATTACATAGTGCAATCATGAATTTGAAATTGCCATTCAGTCTCAAAATATACTCCTTCATTGAGGTTTACTTTTTTTGGTTTAAAAATATTTTTGTTATCACAAGGTAAAGAGTAAACATCTAACTCCAGCAAGAAGCTATATTGTTAATGTAGCTCATAACATTGAATCTATGTCACTTGACGTCAAGGCAAGTGATTTTGCCATTCTGGGTGGCTTCTCTCAATTTGAGCCACATGAGAAGAAACAGGGGAACAATAAGAAGAAACGGGATAATATTACACATGATGCTTACTTGTTAACACAGTGATTGATCTGGATGGCTTGGTCACCACATTTCCATTTACCACTACCAGAGTGATTATATAATAAAGGCCATGATAACTGGCCTTAAAAACAACAGGAGGAGGCAAAGTGCTGTTGAATTCCTCAAATTCGAAGAAATAATTTTTGGATTCACCAGTTATCTTCACAACATACACAGATGCTGGACTGATGATGTCTGAAGTTTCTAATGAGACAACGATGTTATTATCATCTTGGACAGTTACATGGAAAGCTGTAGCGTTCTGTTGAAAGAAAGAGAAAAAAGAGATGGAGGTTATATTCAGATAATTGGCAATAAAGTCATACTAAGATAATTTTTACATATTATTGTATATCATAAACTAATGTTAAAGTAGAGTTACATAGCTATTTTAGTTACACAAGGAAAATCAGAAAGAGATTATCCTTCTTAGGACTAATAATCTTCTCAGGGTTTTACTTTGAGGATTTTTTTCCACTGAAGCTGCTTCCAGTTTATGGACAATGTCATGTAATAAACAAACATCTTGTGGAGGATTAAATACTGAATGAGTCATTTTGACACTCAAGTTCTAGGGAAGTTCTTGGTTTCAACTGTGCTGGCAAAGTTACATGGTTTAAAGAAGTACTCTTTTTACTTCAGAGGGAGTGATGCTAGAAGAACATATCAAGGCAGTTATTTCCTCTCTTTCCTCTCACCTGCTAGTTCTGAAGATGATAAAAAAGTCAGGATTGAGAAACTGGTGTTGATCCTTGTCATTAAAGATTAACCAGCATAATCTCTTAAAGATGAAGGAAGCTATATTAGTGAGGAAGAGATCAGATGGAAGATCTGAAGGTGTCTACGGGATCAGCAGTTGATGGACTTTTTAAAAACTTTGCTCCAAGTCTCCAGATATATGTTTATGGACAATATCTGGAAAGTCATCCATGGAATTGGTTAAATATTCCTCCCTGATTCTGTCTCAGACTCCACAGGCAGAATTAATCTTTCTTTCTGGTCTCAAACAAGACTCATGTACTTTGTACCACAGGCTTGTGTTTAATTTATCTTCTAGGTGTGTAGTGTCCCGGGTGAGTAAGTTACTCACTGCAATGCGCCTCAAATTTCTCTTCTATAGTAGCAGGATGGAAAAATTGCTGAAACTCATTAAGAATCTACTGGGATCCAACCACTATGCCAGGTGCTCTGTATATAAAAATATCACATTTAATATTGAAAATAACCTCCTGATATAGGTATTGTTATTTTTAATCTCACTTTGTGGCTGAGGAAACTGAGGCTCAAAGATAAAGTCACTTGCCCATGGTCACAAGTACAAAAAATCAGCCTAATTATTGTTCCACGTGTTAATTTGTCTTCATCTCCTAATTTACTTTCCTAACACCGAGTCTGTCACATAATACATAACACATAACTGGTAAGTTTCTGTTACATCAATGAAGGAATGGCTGATTGAATCAATGATATATGGGCATTTGCCTCTAACAAATTACTCAATTTATTGATTTTGGTTTTCTTATTTTTAATTGATACATAACAATTTTACATCTTTGTGGGGTACCATGTGATATTTTGATACATATATACATTGTGTAATGAGCAAATCAGGGTAATCAGCATATCAACCACATCAAGTATTTATCATTTCTTTGTGTTGGGAACATTTAAAATCTGCTCTTTTAGCCATTTGAAAATACATGATGAAGTGTTAATATAGGCCCCCTATAGTACTATAGAGCATTATAACTTTTTCCTCCTGTGTAGGTATACTTTTGTATCCCTTAACCAGCCTTTGGCTGTCCCCCTCTCTCTCCCTTCCTTGACTCTAGTAATGACTTCTGCTAGAGCAACTTGCAAGTTTTTTTTAGCATTCACATGTGAGTAAAAACGTGGTATTTATCTTCCAGTGCTTGGGTTATTTACTTGATATAATGTCCTTTGGGTCCATCCATGTGGTTGCAAATGACAATTTCCTTTTTATTTTAAGGCTGAATGATATTCCATATATATATACATATATATACAAACATAATCTTTTCCTTATCCATTCACCCTCTGATGGACGCTTAAGCTGATTCTGTATCTTGCCTCCTGTGAAGACTGCTGCAATAGGCATGGGAGTGCAGAGAAATCATCAACATACTGATTTCCTTTCCTTTGGATAGATACCCAGTAGTGGGATTGCTGGATCATATGGTAGTTCTATTTTTAGGTTTTTGAGGAACCTCCATACTGTTTTCCATAATGGCTGAACTAATTTACATTTCCACCAACAGTTTAACTTATTGATTTTGGTTTCTCACATATTTTCAGCAACCAAATGAAGCACACAGTATACATCACTACTCTCCAAGAGGCTTTATAGACCAAAAAATGTACTGACTTTTTCTTCTTATTTTATTTTTAGAAATCCAGTGTTTACAGGCTCTAGTACTTATAAAGAATGTCTGGCATAAACAAATTTAATTCTGTCTTAACACTGAATAGACTAAATTGTGTTCCCGATAATCTCATCATATTGGACCATAAGTCCTCTAAAGTCAGGAACTGCATGTTATTTCCAGCTGCGTCTCCAGCTCTAGGATCAGTACCTGGTATATGCTAAGTGCTTTTGATGTGGGTGATCCTAGGCAGATTTCTGTAATGTGAGCTAGGCATTGAGAATGAACTTTTAAAATGTCCCTTTATTGGACTATGTCATGTAATAAACAAAATAAACATCTTGTGAAGGAGTCAATAATGAATGAAAGTCGTTTTGACACTTAGGTTCTAGGGAAGTTCTTGGTTTCAGCTATGCTGGTGAAATTACACGTTTTGAAAAAATATGCGTGAGGCTGCGGCGTCCTAGAAAAATTCTAGGAGAATGTATCAAGGCAGTTATTCCAGACACAGGGGCATGTTTGTAACATTGAGCAATGTACTTCTGGGATCAAACACAAAATATGAGCCATGCTATATTGCCAGTGGTCCAGGTGGAATTGTGAGGCTAGCCTAAAGTTCGTAAGAGCATTTCACTGTTTGGGCAAGAAGGATAAAACATAAGCAAACAGAAAAAGAACAGAAAAAGTATTTAATGTGTTGCCTATACATGGAGCTTAACAAATGCTAGCTCTTTCCCTTCTCCATTGCCCTTTTCTTTCTTTTGAATTATGCTTCTGCAAGTTCTGCTTCAGTTATGGCCATGAAAGTTCCTCTCTGACTGTTCCTCCAGCAAATAATAACCATACACTCTGGACAAATTACCAAATAAACAACTAAAGACTGAATCATGAACAAAGCAGAGATTTTTGGAGGGAAGTTGACACTTGGCAGAAGGTATTGGCACAGAATGAGTTATTTTTATATCTATCTATCTCTCTCTCTCTCTATCTCTCTATCTATCTATCTATCTATCTATCTATCTATCTATCTATCTATCT